ACAATTTTCAGTCCTTTTTACATTTTACAATATTAAATAAGTCTTTATTACCAATTCATGTTACTTAACAGTTGTAGAATGAGTTTTTGATAATAAAAAAAAAAAAACAACAAAATAAGAAAAACTAATGAATAACTGGTTCAAGTGTAAACTGAAGACCATAATGTAGCAACTGTTATCAATTTCTATGTACTAAATAGAATAGTCACTAGGCCTAATATTTGAAAATTCAAATTATATCATTTTGGGGTTTGTTTTTTTTGGATTTTTTTTTAATATCATAAGTCACCTACTCAGAAGCAAAGCCTGGAATAAAAGAGATCCAATTTTTGCTTTTAAATCATGGCCAAATGCAACATTTTTCAAATACCAGAAAGTCACTGCTGAGCTCTTAAAAAAATAAAAATAAATAAATAAACCACCAAAAGAGGAAAGAGCAAAAATCAGCCAAACTAATACCGCAGCTCATTTATTAAACTGAAATATGAGTAAACCATTACTTCAAAACATTTTCTAATACAGAAAAACGTTGCTACATTAGAAATTACTAACAAAAATTAGTTGCACTGCCACCAAACTAACATATAATAAATATCAGTCAAGTCCTGTTTAAATAAATTACAAATGAATCATTGACATTCCAACAACTGTTCAAAACCTTTAATCAAATTCCTTCAACTGAAAAACTAGTTAATGTAGCATCTAAATCATCCATGATTTCCGTTTCATGAAAACACTTTATATTGCTTACTAACAATGGTTTCTAATGTATATTCAATTGTTATGTGAATTTATGTAAAATAAAAAGTGTATTTGAACATACACTTCATTAAGTTGGATTCAAATATATGCTAATTTTAAATACAAAATGTCTGAATCACTTCCCAAAAATAACAAAACATCAGAATTAAAGTTTCAAGAGACTTTTTTTTAATATTCCTCAGAAAAACTGTACTAAAATCAGTGTTGTACAGTTTTAGTAAAACAACAAAAAATAGCATTATCATAAGACTGTATCCTACCACAATAAAGAACTAAGCCAATTTGCATCCAAACTGACAGTGTATAAAAAATTATGTTTTTAATCAAGAGCTTTCAGTTGTTCATTTAACCATTTCCAAAATCACATATCATAATGGCTGAAGATAAAATGCCTTAGTTATCAACATGTATTTGGGTGAGTTTTTTTATTTCAATTTAAAAAAAAAATTCAGCATTATGGTCTTCATACATTGTGATGATATAATGCACAAGGCAATAAAATCTCTCTCTAAGCAAAATGTATCAGTCATTAATTACATTCCAAAATCCCAGTACTTTGAAGAGTTTTGAGTTCTTTATTTTAATAAAAGCTGCAAGAATCTGAAATCTCTCTCTGTAGTTTATATGGTATAGTATTATCAATTATTTTGCATATACAATTAAAAAAAAAAAAAAACACCAGTAACTAACAGTTTGTATTCATCAATACAAACAGCAGATTGCACTGTTACAGAACAAGTCACAAGTTAACCTACATAATAAACTAGTGGTTGCAGGATTAAGATATTTATTAAATGTATGTCCCACATGGATAATATTATCTTCCAAGGGGAAAAAATGTAAATGATGTTAATATAGCTTAATGTTGATTTCTGATGACAAGATTAGAAACAATTAGGTTACATATTATTATTAGTACTTACCTATTCAAAATGTCTGTTTCATAATGAGTGTTTATTAAATTTAATAAAGTACTTTTATAGGTTAATTGAGAATGCTCACTTATGGATCAACAGATTTGTTTGATAAAGAAAATGAATGGAAGACAAGATATTCCAACTACTTTACACTCATTATGAAACAGACATTTTGAACAGGTAAGTACTTAAGCTCTATATTAGTAAAGTGAAACAAATACCAACCTTTATAAAAACCTGCTTACAAGGGTAAAAATTTATATTTTTAGGGAGACATTCATTGTTTCTTCTTTATAAAGAAATAAACTTTTATTGAAATTTACATTAGAATGCCAAATGCTGATAATTTGTTATCTACAAAGAGTTGATTTTAAAACCAGATTCAAACAAAGACAATGAGAATGTGACTTAAAAATACTAAATTTAAATAGAGAAATAAAAACATGGACAGTCATTTATGGCAGAATATCTAATTGTCCCAACAGAATTCTGATCTTTCTGAATTTTTTCTTCTCTGCTTAGCCACATGCTTATCAGTTCCAGAAACAATATAAAACATTAAATATAAACAATAGCTATAAATAATATTGGCAAGTTATTAGAGTTACCCTAATAACTACTTCATTGCAGAATGTTTGATCTAATGCAAAAAATTACTCTCTAAAAACATAATACTTGATAAAATATATATAATGATGACTACTTAAGATGGCCACTAACTAATTATGGTTGGATTAAGTGGTTCCTTTTTCAATTTCTGGAAACCTGCTAATGGCCACACATAGCTTGCATAGTACAATATGAACTCTTAGCATCAAACAGCTTTAATCCAATGACAAGAACAAATCAAGATAATTGGAGACTGCCTGTACTGTATTCAATTCACTGCCCAAATCATACTGTGAAGATATGAATTGCTATGCTTACCAAGCAGTTTTCCCTCTAAATACTGATCAAGCTTGACACTGATTATTTTCAGTGATCAAAGAAAATCCAGTGCTTTCAGTATGATTTTATCATAATATACATTTTACACAAAATCCATTCAAAATACAAAGCTTCTTTAGCAAAAAAAAAAGAATATTTTTAAAATTTTGCTTTGTAGGTCTTAGAAAGCAATATTGTAGATGCTAATATATTATTTTGCAATAACATCACAATTTTCAAAAATTTCTAATTCAGGAAAATGTTTGAATCAAGAAGTTGATGACTACAAACTTAAACCAAATTTGCACATTTTTTAATGCGTATTTTGAATATATGCAAATAATTAAATTTGATGCATATATAAGAATCAACTAATTTGAATTCACATTTAAATTAACCTTTTGGAGCCACTAAAAAATTTTTTTATCAACGACCAACAAGTTTTAGAATGTAGTAAGAGAATTTATTTAAATAAAAGAAAACCGTTCTGTAATCCTAGAAACATTAATTAATCATTTAATTATATAAACAAAAAAGTACAAAAATATAATGTTTATAGTTGTTATATAAATTCAGGGATAAATTTAAATTTTAAAATAAAAAAATAAATGGAAAAAAAAAGTAAAGAAAAAAAAAAATCACCCTAGAAAATTTATTTGCAGAGTTATAAATTATAGATATGCATAAAACAAGCATGTTTGGATCATTAATAATTAAATATAAAAACGTTATATCTTAAAATCAGCTCTTAGTCATTCTAAAATATTTAGAGATAATTTATAGAGCCTTTACAAATATTTAATTAAAAATTACAAATTTTCACTTTTCTTAGTCAATAAAGCTTTATTGACTAAGAAATGTGAAAAAAAGATGCAAGAGGTTACCGAGTATGAAAGAATCTGAGATTTAAACACTATTAAGGAGAGAGAACACTAAAGAAAATGAATTAAGACTGAAGATGACACTGCATTTAATATTTTTAAGATCAAAGTTGACTGGAAAGCAAAAACCCAGGAGACTTTTCCACAAACAAGAAGTGCAAAAGAAGAAACTATTAGCATAGAACTTACAGTTATATCTAGCCATTTCAACTCTAAAATGATGAGACCTAGCTGCCAATCTAGCACTGCACTTAAATTCATAGTCAAGGTCCCAAAGAGGAAAGCTCATAAGAACAATTACCATGAAAATATTATAGAAAAGGCACAGGGAAGCTACATTATAGCAGTGGAAAAGCGACTGAAGCCAAGATGCTAGGTCAGGATCTATAACTTTGCAGATTCTTTGGATTTTATCAAGAATCTCTAAATACATAGGAGCACCAGACCAGATGTGACAGCAATATTCAATTCATGGATGAATGGTAAACTTTTAAAAGGTGTAAGATAGTTTCTGGTAAGAAAAATTGTCTTGCACAACACATTAAACCAACTTTCCTAGCAGCAGACCTAGAAATTGAGACAATATAATCTTTCCACTTAATGTCAGTGAAAATATTAGCTCAAAACTGTGCAACAAGTCATTCTCCTGGAGATTAGCATCAGCTATATTGACAAAAGGCAAAAAAGTTTCTCTAAAAAGAGAACAGTTTTGTTTTGGAGGCATTAAAATTAAAAAGCCATTTCTTGCCCTTGTTAGCAACAAATTGAAAGTCATTTTACCATTAAGACAGGAGTAAATAGATGTGTCATCAGCATAGATACAGAGTTGAGAACTGATAACATCAGGAAGGTCATTGATGAAAATTAGGAATAACATAGGTCCAAGTATAGAGCCCTGGAGGGACACCTGTATTAATACAAAAAGATCTAGAAGTATGGCAGTTTAAGAGAACTTTCATTTCACAATTCAATAAGAAATATTGAATCAAATAAAAATTTGTCCAGAAGCATCAATCTTGAAGACCAGCTTAAGAATTCTCATTTAGGCTAAATCTCTAGACATTTCAATGAACAACTAACTAAAAAGCATTTGCAAAAATGGTGGGTTGAAAATGAGTTTCTTAGGGTCAAATGCTAAAAAAGCAAAAAGTAAGCATACATTTTATCAGAAACTGTACAATACAAATTGTGACCAGAAATTATGGAAATTAAAATTCATAGTATGTAACATTTCAAGGATACTGTCAAACTAAAATATGCATGTATTAAGGAAAGCGTATTAAAGGAAAAAAAGAGGGAAAATTTATTCAAAATACTATTCTAATTACAATTTCTTTACAGATTTCATGAGTTAATAAGTTAATATTCTAATAAAATAAATTATTGTGTTGTACAAATACTTATGTACTTATTAAATATAAACATTTTTTAACTTAATTTTTTAAGAAAGTATAACATTTTATGTAAAAAAAAAAAAAAAAAAAATATATATATATATATCTCAAATACTTACTGATAGAATCAATAAACTTTCCTGAGGGGCTGGAAGGCCCGTTCACCTGGTGAGCAGTCTCAGTCATTGCTGACTAATCAACTCTCCACCTCTAGAACAGGAGGAAAAAATAAAAAGAATAAATATTAATTAAAATAAAAAGACAATAAAAAAAGAAAGAAATTTCATGTTAATAATGAAAATTAGTTTTAACTTTCTGTTATTCATAGACATCTTATAAGTTTGTTACCTTCTAAAAGATCTGTATACAATATTTTTAAATAAGTTTACTGATTATGCAAATTTAAGAAATTTTATATTTGCTTTCTATTAAATTACAATAAGGTAATCAAGAGAGAACTGTTCCTGCTTTCACACAAACAGTAAGGCTGATCTCATATAAAAGCAAATATTTAATTGCAATATTTTTTTATTAGCTGTAATTTTTTTCCTCCCAATAGGTATTTGCTATTGTTTGTTAACACTAAAGCTCTATAACAATTCTAATGCAAGCCATTGATCAATACAGATCGAAATATGTTAAACTATTTGGTGCAACTATTTCCAATTGATGAAGAAGCAGACAATGGAAGCAGACATTCTCTGCCTTCAGTGTTCTTCACTCACAGAAAAAAAGTGACATTCATTGAAACTAAATACTGCAACAGAAGACAAAAGCTACCTAGCTGTCAGACTAGGCATATTTTTACAGTAATTTGGTTATCTTAGTACTTTTTCAAGATTAGAAAAATTTTATTTGTATCCTAGTTGAGTCAAAAATACCATACAAGGTAACAAATTTATATCTTCCTTGTTTATAAAAATCAAATGATGTATATATACAGGATACCACATAAATGCCATTACAAAATTTCAAATGAATTCTATTTCTAAATTTTGGGTCATTACAGTGTGGTTTATGGTTTAGCACTCACCCAACAATATGCATGTTTTGTTTTTTCAAAGTGTTTTAGTATTTACTGGCAACAATATCTATAGAAATTAAAAGAAAGTATATAATTGAACAAAATGAAAACAGACTGACTGAGATTTTTAAAGCTAGAAAAAACTTGGAATCAATAGAATGATTATCAAAAGGACAATCAATCACTACAACAAGACTTCCTCCATCAAAGATTGACCAAGACCAGAACACCTCCAGAATGCCAAAACTCATTAAACAGGTGCATGAAAAAAAAAAAATCAAGCATTATCCAAGAATGTCAATGAGAAAATTGGATCAGGAGGCCAGATCATCAGAGAGAACCATGTGGAGGCTCTATCAAAATGATCTAGAGATGTCACCCTATAAGATAACCAAGAAATAGCATCTTTCAGGAGCTACAATGAAAAAGAGGTTTCAAAAAAGTAAGCAGTTGCTGAAATGAATTCATAATGGCATATTGCAAAACATCAACTTCATTGATGAGAAACTGTTCACTATTGAACAGACTTAATTATCAAAATGACTGTTCTTTCAACAAACTGTCAGTCTGTTCCTGCCACTTCAGGAAAATACCTCAAAACCCAGAAATCAGCATTAGTTATGGTTTGGTCAGCCATTTCAGAAAGAGGAAAGTTTCCACTTGTTTTTGTACCTAAAGGGGTAAAGATCAACAAGTGTACATAGAGGACATCTTGGAAGGTGCATTCAAGCCATGATGCAATGCCACTTATGGTAATGAACATTGGACACTTCAACAAGGCAGAGCAATGAGCCATACTGCTTGTGTAACACAGCAGTGGTGCAGAGACATTTGTCCAAGGACGAATAGCCTCCCTCATTACCAGATATTAATGCTTTTGATTATTGTTAGTGGGCAGTTCTTAAAAGTGAGGCCTGTTCTACTCCACATCACAATATTGAAGCACTGAAGGCAAAAACTGAAGAGAGTATAGGGCAATATAACCATGGAAACTGTGCATATTTCCATCAATGACTTTTCCAAAAGACTTTGACATAGTACAAGCTAAAGGGAATCATATTGAATGAGGTTTCCTGGTGTTGTATAGCAGATTAATACTTACGCTGTGTTAAAATTGTATGCTGATATAATAAATTTTGCAGGAGTTATGAGCATTTACATTTGTAACAGTATTTATGCCATAACATGTACAAACATGTCTTTTCTGGATAAAAAAAAGATATACAAAATCAAGTAAGTTATTAAAGCTAACTTTAATAAGTTTATTATAAAAATATTGTAGGTGGCTCTTTCTTTAACATAAAGAGGTACTGAAAAGTTCTAACCCACTTCCTGAAATCTGACCAAATAATCAAACATTTTTCTTTGACAGACTGAACTTTTCAACACCCCCTCATAATTGATCATTAACTAGCCCTTATTTTACTTAATTTAATGAACTTGTCACAAGACCAAATATGAGACTACTTCAGATAGGTAAAAATGGAGAGATCTCAAGAATAGAAGTACTAGTTATGCAAAAAGAGAAACCTCATTAGAGCTCTTACTCTGGCAAGACATACTACTTTATTCATATTACAACAAAATAACTCAGTTTATCACTCAAGTTGAATATATAATTCTACAAATGAGAATTAAATAAAAGTAGATTTAAATATGTTGAAAGCCTAAATATATATCAACATTTGTTCATATATTTCCAACTATTTATTACTTTAATTTGCAATCATAACTACATCTACTACATTTATGGGGTCATCACAGTACTATTATGTCAAGTTGCTTTTAAATATTAACTAAGGCCTACCCATACCAACCATAAAGATTGGAAGATGTAAGGTGATTTTTGAAAGTTTTTTTCTTTAAGTGTGCCTTATATGACAGGAAATATGATAAGTAATCTAATCTTTGTAAGAGCCTGTGATATTCAACTAAATAATATCTTATATATCTAAATATACATTTTTATGTACAAATCTTTTTCTGTCAATTTCTAAAATTGATAAAATTGTTAAAGTAAACTTGAAGAAGTAGGTTAAGTTTTCTTATGTAGATATTTAAAGTCAATAATAGATTAGATTAATTCTCTAAAATAATATTTAAAACAAAAAGGTACAAGACTATTCAAGAGAAGATGGAGAAGGAATTTTGCTTATAAGTAAACAGATCTTTCTTCTTGATTATGCTTTACTTTTTATTTTTGCTGTGTCAAAGACATGAAAAAATAAGGACATTAATGATAATAAGCATAAAATTTATTTTAACTCAATCAAAAGGTTCTTTTTAAATAATCCATTCCAAACTTACCTAAACCTAAAGAAAGGGATAGTATTGCAAAAAAGAAAAAACTGTTCTTTTAACTATAAATAGTTATTAACAGCTGAGAAAAGCAACATGTCAGTAACACCCATTTCTAAACAAGAAATAATAAATCAGGGAGTGCTAAGAAAATGAGACAATGGTTTAGTTTTGCAATTTTTGTTACAAGACCACCACCACCCTCAGTGGTCAATTCTTTCCACATCACTCAGAATGTGATTTTCTTATAAATTAACCAGTGATCCGCCCTTAAGGATAGTTAGCCAAGTAAGTTAGTGATTAGTAGAAAAGTCATCAACAAACTGCTCCTTAAATGTTCTAACTGTAGCAGCAGTGGCAGAAAAAAAAAAGAAGCTGGAAAGGCATGTCAGAAATCTATCAGGTTACCAAGCTCAGCTATGAAATGCCACAGAAAATATACACAGCAAGAACAAGAGAATGTAGGGTGTTACTGTTTTGACTTATAAGCTCTTAAAATAGAAAGGAGTTGGTTTTAACCTGATATTAGAAATAAAAAGTCCTCTTTGTTTATAGACATATATTAGTTTACATTGCTAAAATAAAAACTTTACAAAATCAAAATCCATTCCAAAAAACTAGAGTTGTTGCATTACAAAATAGAATATAAATTCGATAGGAATGAAGAATCAAGAAGGAAAATTATTGCACACAGACATAAAAAGGGAAAATGTTTATTATACATACACACTGTACAAAATTGAATAAGCTAATATTTTTCATTATTTTCAAAAAAATTATAATTATAGATTAAAAAAAAAAAAAACAAAAAAAAAAATACATCTTTAAGTGGACATAACAAAAACAACAATATGGTTAATTCATTTTCTACCTGGTAAAAAAATAAAATTAATAGACTGATGCAACAAGTAAAAATTTAATATGTATGTAACATAAATAATATAGCAAATACAATTTGTACAATTAAGATTGTGATTATCATATAATTAAAAGCATACATTTAAACAAGAACAGTGAATATTAAAATACTGATATTTTAATAATTACATGCATTAATTATTTCTAGTATATGGAAGAAATAACAAAACTGAAATATTCATGTTACTATCAACATTTTCTTTTCAATCATCAGTCACATGACAGGGTGTGATCACAGGGTCACTGTAAATGAGCACTTGTCCAGCTCACTCCACTTATCTAGGAAAGCCAGAGAAGTATTTATTTATATGTAACATGTTTTGGGCATGTAGAACTGGCAGAGACTCTCTCCAGATCAAACCACAGTCAATGTCTTCCAACTTGAAGGCTTGCCTTGGTCACTGTTGATTCCATCAAAAGGAACCCTCCACTGTGACAGTTGACTTCATCCAGCAATGCTGTGTTATGACATGTAAATTGAGAAATTGCTGAAGTATTTCTCTTATTGATCTCTATAAATTTATTTCAAGCAATTATACATTTCAGATGATTGACAACTAGTAACCTCTCTGTATTCAACTGCATATTTCTAATATATATTTGTGAGAATATCAAACATGTCTAGTTTATCACAATTTCATATTAAAATAAATATGTAATTATTGTTTATTAAATAACTACAAAATATTAAAATTATATGTTAATGACAAAAGTATTTTGAACTGCACTTAACAGTAGCTAAATATTATATATATATATATATAAGGACCAAAGTTGAATAGTGTTTTTTATATATTTTGGTATTAAGCATAATTTTGCTTACATTCTATGATAAAATTGCTATTTTATAAAAAAATAAATATATTCATCACATTAGTAGATGGTCTCAAAGATCACTCAAATTTAGATCTTGATATAGTTAATTTCAGTTTGTTTTTTCATAGGCTTATTGTACAAATCATGCTAATAT